TTAAGAATTCTCTACCTAGCCATAGCTGTAATATACTTGGGTTCATTCTCCTCCTCCTCCTCCTCCTCCTCCTCCTCCTCCTCCTCCTTTTCCTCCTTCTCCATCATCTTCTTTTATGTTAAGGTCTTCCCCTATTTTTACTTCAATTCAATAAATACATATTAATTGTCTACTATGGGGAAGACAGCATGGTTAATGAATGGAGGGCCAATCTTGGGAATCAGAAAAACCCTGTCTTTGACACACTAGCTTTATGATTAGGGGCAAGGGACATTCTCATGTCCAGCACAACTCTTTAAGACTCTAGGTTATAGCTAAGTTGTTGATCTTCTTTAGTGGAGGAAGTTTTCATACCAATGAAATTAAATGTCAGAATAGGTGAAAAAATTGAGGAAAGCCAGAGAATCAGGTTAGGTTACATCCTTTCATCCTGATCCTGGCTTATGCTTATAAAAGCACAGATTCTTGGAATGCCAGAGAAATATAATTATTTAATTGGGAATAGAATCTTTGGTTACAGTTGCCTTTTCAGGCCTGAGGCATTTGTAATGCATCACTGGCCTTAGAGCTCAAGGGAATTCACATAGGGTATTATAGGCTAGCATTCTCTTATACCAAAGGCCTTCTAATTATTTCCATTATTTCTGCCCTACTACAAGCCCTTGAGATAGGTCATGTTTATTATCTCTAATTTACTCTGCTCAGTCAACTGAGGGGGTAGCCTGCCTGTGACTATAGTCAGAGTTTGTATCAGAACCCATAAGAACCAATTTATACTTTTTCTCAAAATCATTTCTCGAATGTTGCCTTTCTATAATATTGGGTTGCCAAGTGAATTAAAAAAAACTCAGCAGAAAAATCACTTTCAGAATCAGGCTGATTGTCTCACCCCATAGTGTTTACCTTACTAACCAGAAAAGACCAAAATTAAAATCCAGATCTTTCCTTTTTTATGACATTCAGAACAAAATCATGGGATCTTGAGGTGGAAGAGACCTTAGAGGTCATCCAAATTTCTACATGTCACTGATGAGAAGTCAAATGATTTGCTTAAGGTCACAAGGTAATAAGGAGCATAGCCTGGATTCAAGCCCACACCATCTGACTCTAAATTCAGTGCTCTTCACATTTCACCTCTTATTCCCTCAACATTTATTAAGTGTTTACTGTGAGCTATGCACTATGTCAGGCACTGGGGATACCTAATACAAAAACCAAAATTCCTACCTCAAGTAGCTTACAAAAAGTTATTAGAGATTACATGAAGCAGGACATAAAGAAAATTCCGAAGTCACCAGATATTTGGATTGAAATTTTGAAATAAATAATAGAAACTGTCCAGTTAGATCCAAAATTTGTGATAGGGCAAGAAGGGAAAGAGCTTGCTCCATGATGGCTTTCCTTGGAGTTAGAAAGCCTAGGTTTGAATCCCACCTTTGCTACCTGTGTAGTCTTGGTCACATAACCTTTGTTTTGGCCTCGGTTTCCCCATCTTTAAGATGAAAGGCATTCTATTAGATTCCTTCTAACTTTAACTTCTTGTTATCCTATGAACATTCCCTAGTATTATTTCATGTCCAGTTTGTGTATAGCACACAGAAATGTTTGTATTTTCTTGAAAATTTGGAAGATTGGAAGTCATTTTGACATCTCTCAATTTACTCCAAATGTGGGATTCATATTTTTACATCTGAATATGTTTCATAACTATAAGGCACTTTCTTAGATCCCAACCCATCAACTTAGTTGATAGTCCTTGTGAATTGTCTGAGGCACATTGAAGTTAAATGAGCTTTCCAGGGTCACACAGCTGACAAATCTCAGAGGTGGAATTTGAACCCCAGGGCTTCCTGACTCTCAGCCCAGCACTGTGTCCACTACACCAGTGGTGTTGGACTCAAATAGAAACTGGGGTCATTAAACGGTACCTACAGATCCTTGTGGGCCACACACTGACTTAGACAACCACATATTAACATTATCTATGTTTTGTTTTATTTTTATTTTCTTAAATATTTCCCAATTACATTTTAACCTGCTTAGGGCATACAGGAATATTATGGGTTGCAATTCAGGTCTTTGATACCTTTGTACCACACCAAGTTGTGTCTTTGATACTTGACAGTAAAGATCTTTTCTCCAAACATCCAAAAAGGCCTTCTACAGAGGCCACTGGCATCTTGGTCTCTAGCATGGAATTTTTGCAATGTTAACTTTCCAGGGATTATACAGTTGTGCCTCCACCCTCACAGAGAGATGAGTTAAAGGCTGTCTCATTTTCAGCATATGTTAAATGATAAAATGAAGTGCACAACTGGAAAAAAGATCTGGGGAAGAAAGATCTCTGCAGGACTCTGGACATAATCCCTATTAAGTAATTGAGTAGGAGCCAACCTGGTAAAGAACTTCTTTGAATTTAGCTAGGCTGGTCTTTGGATGAAAGAAAGATGGAAAGAAAGAAAAAATGAAAGAAAGGAAAAATGAAAGAAAAAACAAAGGAAATAAATGAATATAGATATGTAAAGCATTTATTAAGCATTTACTATGTGCTACATTGTGCTAAGCACTGGGAATACAAATACAAAAGAATAAGAAATATGCTCCCTTTGTTTTCTAATAGGGGAACTGGAAGAAATATATATATATATATATATATATATATATATATATATATATATATATATATATATATATATATATGTTATATATATGAAGTTGGAAAGACAAATGACCTTTTGAAATCCCTTATGGATACACACACACACACACACACACACATATACTTCTTTTTACTTACTTCACTTACTATGCTTCACTTACTACTACTACACTCACTTACTTACTAAAATTACTACATGCCAGGCACTATGCTAAGTGCTGAGGATATAAGAAGGACAAAAACAGTCTCAGACTTCAAGGAATGCACATTCTAATGGTGAAGGGACTGACAGGTCATGTATGGTAAGGGATAAGGGAAAAGCTTGTGGCCTCTTGTCTTGAGAGATGTTCTTGTTGTCAGGCTACTGGAAGCGTCAATTAACTAATCTGATCCTAAGGGTCTGAAAGGGTGAAGGTAGTTCCCAGAACCTACAATTCTGTCATCACAAAGATCAGAGGGCAGCTCTTTCTATCAATGTCTACCCTTATTTGCACCAAAGACAGTTTTGATATATTGGATTGTTTATACCACTAGATACACCATACTTTGAGGTCTTATAATTTTATTGATATGGGAGCTTTCTGTGTTTACTCAGAGAAATCCTTTTGGATGTAGGAGATAGTCTTTCAGAGGTGTTGTGACTGACCAAAAAAAAGCTTGATAAAGAACTCTGAATTTAAGCTGATCCTTCAATGATAGTCTCTCCCAAGGCTTGAACACAGTCTTTCCATCTTGGTAGGATCTGCCAGAACTAGTACCCTGTTGGCATTACAATTGAGAACTTGACATTGAGAGTTGACTGCATGCTGCAATATGATATAAGAGGAAGATTCTAGAATGTAAGCTTCTTGAGGACAGCGACTGTTTTTAGTTTTGTTTCTGTATCCCCAGTACCTTCACCTGCTTGTTAGATTGAACTGAAATGGATTAAGTATACCATATTGGGCAAAGATTTTTGAGTGCATGTAATTTTTGATATTTCTTTCAAAAAGATCCCATTTTAGTAGTATGTCTTATATTCAGGTCCAAGACAACATTTATGCTTTTACAAAGAAAAGGAATAACAGGAGAATATTAATGTACCGGATAATGCACTTTGAAAGAAATAAGGGTGCCACCATGATAAATGTGAAAGGCAATCTGGAGTGAAAAGAGAACTAGATTTGGAGTTAGAGGACATGGGTTCAAATCCTGGCTGCTGTTTCTTGTCCTAAGTGACCTTGGGCACAATTACTTAACTTTCCTGGGTATCAGTTTATGTCTATATCCATATTTATAACTGTATTTAAATCTATCTGTCTACATTGACATCTACATCTACCTCTGTGTCTATGTCTACATCTGTGTCTATGTTTATGTCTGTCTATCTCTATCATATCTCCATAGATAACTATATATCTTAAATGAGGGGGATTGGGCTAGATAACCTCTAGGGTTCTTTCTAGCTTTAAGGCTATGATTCTATAATCAATTTCTCATTTAATCACTTACCCTTTTTGGTAATCCCCATGAGCAATGCCCCTTAGTTCTTAGACATTATAATCTATTCCCAAGTCAATGCCCTTTGAACAGATCCATTCTCTTTAGCCTTCTTTAGTGAGGCTCTGTTGATTTCCAGAACTAGACCTTAGTACATCCCCTGCTTATCTGGCTGATTCTTTGTATTCCTTTTCAAATGACCTAACTCCCCACTTTCTAAACACCAGCATTCATTTTCCTCAACTGTCAATTTTCCAAAGATCCCAAAGAGTTAATAATTCACTCAAGTGCCTATGGAGATGCTTGTTTCTAACATTTATCTAGTTTCTATAGTTATCCTCAACACTAGTGGTGTTATTCTCAATATTAGTACTGGAGAAGGGCTAGAAAGAGAGGAGTATCCAAAAGACTGCTCAGTTTCTAAGCTTGTCACAGAAATTAATGGTAGAACTTGAATGATAAAGGGAATATCTGATTCACATACAGCTCCACCACAGGCTGGGAGATCAGGGTCCCTTGCTGTCCTCAGGCCTGAGTCATGAGGACTGCCATTTAGGACTGTGATGATCCTGTATATTTGAAGACAACAAATGAGACACTTATTTCTACAGCCAATAGCATCTATGAAGAGTCCTGACCCAGCACAAGCCAGAGCAGAGACTTTTATGAGATGAGGCAGGACTCTTTGAAGGTCTCTAACTAGAGTATTTTTGGAAAAAAATTGACCAAAAGTGAAGGAAGGAAACAATTCTATGTGATGAGCTCATACCCACTTCTTGGGGTATAAAAGGTCTGGGGAGGCAGGTAGACCTCACACAACTTGATCATTGTACTAAACCCTCCAACTACCCTACTCACCATTATGCCTTACGACTGCTGCCTGTCCAGCTTCAGCTGCCGTACCAGCTGTTGTTCCAGGCCCTGCCTGCCTCCCAGCTGCCATGGCTGCACCCTCCCTGGAGCTTGTGATATCCCTGCCAATGTGAGCACCTGTGGCTGGTTCTGTGAAGGATCCTTCAATGGCAAGGAGAAGGAGACCATGCAGTTCCTTAATGACCGCCTGGCCAGCTACCTGGAGAAGGTGCGGCAGCTGGAGAGGGAGAATGCCGAGCTGGAGGGTAGGATCCGAGAGTGGTGCCAAGAGCAAGTGCCCTATGTGTGCCCAGACTACCAGTGCTACTTCAAGACCATTGAGGAGCTTCAGCAGAAGGTAAAATCTTGAGATATTTTGCAGCTGAAAATACAGGTGCTTACAGACAGTAAACTGTTTATTTAAAAGGTACCAGGAGATTCTGAAGTCTAAGGGATACTGAATGTGGACTCTTTCATTTCCAGATCCTGTGCACCAAGTCTGAGAACACCAGGCTAGTGGTATGCATTGACAATGCCAAGCTAGCCTCTGATGACTTCCGAACCAAGTGAGTTTGGGTAGAAGGAGGAAAGAAAATCATGTCTCCCATATTTTTTTTTAACTCTCGACACTAAACATTTTAGAAATGAAATTTAGAAATTTAGAAAATTGAATCCAGAAGAAATAACTAAAGAGTGATATGGAGATATAGGGAAGGAAATCATCTTTTTTTTTTTTTCAGATGACTAAACAGTTTTGACCAATGTTGTCCATAGGAGGCTCAGACAATTACTTTCTAATTCAACTTTTTGATCAATGGGCTAATTTTGTCTCCTTTCTAGTCCCTCTTTACAGGGATGGAAAGAAAGAAATTGAAAAAAATATTCCCAGTAGAAAGTAAATTCCTTAAGAACAGGGCCTGTCTTATTTTTGTCCTTGAGTCCTTAGCATTTTCACAGCACCTGCTGCAAACAGGTGCTTAATAAATGTAGGATTGTTAACCCCTGCATACAGCAGCTGATTAAAAGATGTTTGTCAAACTGAAGTTAAATAGGCCCTCAAACAAAAACTACAAAGCTAAAAAAAAGTGAAAACAATACCATCCAACTTGTATAATACATTCTTCCTTTGCTTAATCACCTGCACTTGAAGGTATGAGACTGAGCTGTCCCTGCGCCAGCTGGTGGAGGCTGATATCAACAGCCTGCGCAGAATCCTGGACAATCTGACCCTGTGCAAGTCTGACCTGGAGGCCCAAGTGGAATCCCTTAGGGAAGAGCTTGTTTGCCTGAAGAAGAACCATGAGGAGGTGAGAAAAGAAATCCATAGAGAAAACATTCTTGGGTGTAGTAAATAGACAGTTAATCTCCCCCTCTCTCTCCTTTTTATTCCTCCACTGAGTACACAGCACCTCATGGAAATAATTTGCATGTTTAGTGTATTGCTTCAGAAGGACTCTGCCTCCTCCACCCTCCTTCATGTCTTCCATTTTTTTTCTTTAGGAGGTCAACTCTCTGCGTTGCCAGCTTGGTGATAGACTCAATGTGGAGGTGGATGCTGCCCCAACTGTGGACCTGAACAGGATACTGAATGAGACTCGGGCTGAGTATGAGGCTGTGGTGGAGAATAACCGCAGAGATGTGGAGGAATGGTTCACCACTCAGGTGAGAGTCTAGCTCATGCCCACTGCTGAATTTGAAGCTTCGTGGGGTCCCAATGATCATACTCTCACCTCTTGGCTCTCCTCTTGGGACATTTCAGACAGAAGAACTGAACAAGCAGGTGGTGTCTACCTCTGAACAGCTGCAGAACTACCAGGCCGAGATTATCGAGTTGAAACGCACTGTTAATGCCCTGGAGATTGAGCTGCAGGCCCAGCACACCCTGGTGGGTAACATTCAGCTTTGATACTTACCTTTTGAGGTTAAACTTATTAATTTATCAACCATACAGTCAATGAAACTCTGAGCTTGGAGTTTTCATGGAACTATTTGGAAAAATCCCTTAGAGGGGCACCTTTGCTGACATTTTCTTCTCTTCTCCATTACAGAGAGATTCTCTGGAAAATACATTGACCGAGTCCGAGGCCCGTTACAGCTCCCAGCTGTCCCAGCTACAGTGTATGGTTACCAATGTGGAGTCCCAGCTGGCTGAGATCCGTGGTGACCTGGATAGACAGAACCAAGAATACCAGGTTCTCCTGGATGTTAGGTCTCGGCTAGAGTGTGAGATTGACACATACCGTAATCTCCTGGAGTGTGAGGATTGCAAGTAAGTGTCCTGCCAGATATTCCTGGAAAAGCCTGTCTCTGTCTCTTTGTTTCTGTCTCTCTCACACACAGATACAGAAATTTAAAAAAAAAATTGTGTAGATCTTCCTGTTAAACATTGTCTAGGTATAATCACATATCATAATTCTTTCTCTACTCATTTAACTCATATAACTTTGTAGGAGAGGCATTTGGTAATAATCTGAGTTTTCTCTGACTTGCTTCAGCCACTCAAAACCCACTGGTGGCTGAACCTAAACTTGAATGGAATTTGTGGGCTATGGTCTTAGAGGGATCTTTGCATAGAACACTCCCATTCTCAACCTAATGCAAACAATTGCATTTTCCTAGGCTACCCTGCAATCCATGTGCCACTACCAATGCCTGTGGCAACTCCTGTGGGTCCTGTGGCAACTCCTGTGGACCCTGTGGCAACTCCTGTGGACCCTGTGGCAACTCCTGTGGACCCTGTGGCAGGTCTTGTTCCCGCACCTGTTGAATTCCTATCTCTTAGTTTCACTATGTAAACTCAGGATGGGAAAGATCATTTGATCCTGACTTCTGACTTAGTTCAGTTCTCAAAAGCAATAGCAACATTTTGGTTCTTTTCCCATCAACCCCATTTCTGTCAACTATGCCACCATTTTCAGGATTTCCCATGTACTGCAGTGAGTTCCACAGTCAACAAGCCATGAATGGCATCATCAACTCCCAATTGGTTGGAAAAATCCTTAATGGGAAGCATTAAAGCCTCTTAATTTCTGATGATGCCCAACTCCCTATAACTCAGTCACACGCTATTACTTTGGGGTGTTTCCTGTATGGATGGTGTTTCCGCCTTCCTTGCTCCTTTACCATCTTCTGGAATGCAAGGAGGTACCTTCACTTACCTTCCAATAAACTTTATTTCTTTGGCATTGCAAATGTCCTTCTCATTCATGTTTACTCCTTGTAATGCATTCTTCACGTATGTCTCATAAAGAAACTTCTAGTCAGGAGAATGAAATGAATCCAATGCTTGCCATTATATACTATGGACAAACGTTGATCAAAGATTACGGGGTAATCCTCAAAAGAGACCCATGATTTAGGGTAGCTGCCCAGAAGATAGCCTACAAAAATCTATTCCATGCTAGCCTTGAGTACAAGATCCTTGACACCTTCTTGCCCCTTACCAGAAGATGGAACCTAAATCAGGTCTGGATTTCTCATCATCCATTTCTTTCTCACACTTAGCTTCTTTTCCCAATCACTCCATGGAAACACCTGTAAGGCCATTAATGACACCTTCTAGTCAATTGAAATAATCTCTTCTCCATGTCCATCCTCTTCTATTTCTCTGGTGTTTTGACATGGCAAATGTTGAGCTTTATCATTCTCCTTCTTCAGCTCTACCTCAGCTACACATGTAGATGGCCATGTCTTTGATCTTGCCATCACCCACAAGTCTTCCACTTCCATGTTCATTAACTCTGAAATTCCTGTAGTGGATCATAATCTCCTATTATTTCCTTGCTCTCTATGCTTTGTTTCATGCTTACTGTGACCTATGATACTCTCTGTACTTTTCCAAGCCTTCATCCTTGCTATGACTTCACTTTTCTCCCTTCTCAATCTCAATCCACTAGTGAGCATGTTCAATTCTAGATTGTTCTCTATTCTTGAATCTCTTGCTCCCTGGTCCTATTCTGCCCTATTCTGCTCTGTTGCTTTGCCAAATCCCAATCTTGTATTACTTCCATCATCCACCTCCTCCATTCCTACTCATGTACTGCACAATGGAGCTGGAGAAAGCCATATAACTTAGCTGACTGGCTCCACTATAAATTTGTCAATTAATCTCAACTGGGACCTCACTGCTACAAGGAAATCCTTTACTTCTCCCTAGTTGATTTTCTATCACACTCACCACATTGACTGGTCCAAACCTCTTTTCTACACTTGTAACACTACTTTCTGATTCTCCCAGTCAGTGTGCTAACCAATAGCATTAAGGTTCAGTCAGTAGGCCCTATTAACTCTTAACCATGTCATACTCCTATTCAAATGGCGTGGCAGGAACAATGATGACAAAACATTCCTCCCATAAACTCACTCCCATAAAGCCACACTCTTCCATCAATATACCAGTATCTGCAGGGGAGAATGGGCACAAACTTAAAACACAACAATAATGAGGCACATATATAAGGGAAGACATGCAGCCAAGGCACTGTACAACTCTGGAATGTTCCCGATGTCCCTTCTCTTTCTGGAAATGTAGGGCTTTAATGTTTCAGTATTTCTCTCTCTGTGTCTTTGTTTATATCTGTCTCTGTCTCATTGTCTCTGCCTCTCTCTGTCTCTCTGTCTCTGTCTCTCTATGTCTGTCTGTCTGTCTGTCTATCTCTCACATATACTCACACACAGTTCACAGCTGGGAGTGGTATCTGGGCTAGATGAGTGGCTCTGCTGATAGTCTAGGCCACTCTGTTTCTGGATTTGGGGTGCTCTGTTTGTGAGCTTGGTTGACTCCTCATAGATGAATGGGTTGCTGTGGTGGATTACTGTAACTGAGCTGTTCTGCTGCCAGGTTGGGCTTTTCCTTTGCTCATCTGTATTTTCTCCTTAATTTTTTTTGCCATTTTCTATTTTAAGCTCAGCTGAAGCCCTCAGCTGGGCGAGTGTACTTTTTCAGAAAGTGTAGAGACCCTTAGTATAGGATTTGAAGAAGCTTTCTAGTTCTAGGGTGAGGGAGGGAGCAAAATTCATTAAATTAAAAATTTATACTATGTGCCAGGTACTGTGCTAAGCACTTTACAAATATTATTGACAGAAAAGGAAAATGACAAATGTTGGAGGGGATGTATTAAAATAGGTACACTAATGTACTATTGGTGGAGTTGTGAAGTGATCCAACCATTCTGGAGATCAATTTGGAACTATGACTAAAAGGTTATAAAACGGTACATACCCTTTGACCCAGCAATACTGCTATTAGATCTATACCCCAAGGAGATCAAAGAAAAAGGGAAATGACCATATGTACAAAAATATTTATTGTAGCTATTTTTGTGGCTGTGAAGAATTGGAAATCAAAGGGAAACTCAATTGAGGAATGGCTGAACAAGCTATGGTATATGAATGCGATGTAATATTATTCTGCTATAAGAAATGATGAAGGGGATGATTTCAGAGAAACCTGGGAAGACTTGTATGAGCTGATGTAAAGTCAAGCCAGCAGAACCAGGAGAACAATATACACAGTAATAGCAATATTGCAAAGATAATGAACTTTGAAAGACTTAGTAACTTATCAACACAATGACCCACTATGATTCCAAAAGACTGATGATAAAACATACTATTCACTTCAAGAAAGAGAACTAATGTACTTAGAGTAGAGATTGAAGCTTTTCTTTTTCTTGCTTTCCCCACCTGGATCACGGCTAATATAGAAATCTGTTTTGCATTACTACATATTTGTAATGGGTCTTGTTTTTCTTGTGTTATTAATGGGTGAGAATATGGAAGAGGGAGAGAACTTACAATGGAAAATAAAATGAAGTTGAATTTAAAACATTACATTATGAAGGATAGAGTTGAAAGAGAGCATTCCAGTTGTAGGGAACAGATTGTGTGAATGCAGTGACATGAAAGATGGGGACTCTATCTCCCCATTTGGGTGGAGTTTGACTGGAATGTAGAGTCCACAAAAGGAAATAATGTAAGAAAAGTCTGGGAAGGTAGAATGGATTCTGATTTTGAAATGCTTCAAATACCTGGCTGGATATATTTGTATTTTATTTTGGAGGCAATAGGGAGCCACTGAAGGTTTTTTGATCAGAGGAATGACATGGTCAGACTTGTTCTTTATAAAGATAATTTTGTCACCTGTGGAGAGGTTGAATTGGTAAGGAGGAAAGGCTACATCCAGGGAACTAATTAGCAGACTGTTATAATAATCTATTCAATACACTATGAATTTAGTTGCTAATTTAGTGGAGTCAGGGTGACAGAAATGAAGGAGGTTGAGGAGGCAGAATCAAGACTGTCCATGGATTGGAAATGTGGGGTGAAGGAGAGATTCTCTGAGGTTGGTGACCTTTATCCTTCACCTAATGTTATTCCTTCTAGTCTATATGAACATGGTATCTGGGTTATTTTTCCTCCCCTCCTCAACCCCATCCCATAAAACAACCCGAGGCTTACTACCTTATTTGGAAGGATCTGATAATAACAACTTATGCTTATACAATTTGTAAGATTTACAAAGTATTTTCCTTACACTGACACTTTGAGATAAGTGGCACAAATATTATTATACCCATAAAATAATTTATGTTTATGCAATATATAAGGTTTATGAAGCACTTTCCTTGTACTGACCCTTTGAGGTAAATAGTACAAGTATCATTATGTCCATTTTTCAGATGAGAAAACTGAGGCTAAGAGAGATGAAATGATCTCAGGACTACATGGGTATCAGGGATGGAATTTGAATGCAGGTCTCCTGATTCCAAGCCCAGAATTCTTTATACCTGTAACTCATTTATCCTAAGGTGTAAATAATTGACAACATTTCATAGAGGTACTTACTATCTTATTAAAGACAATCACAAAGAAATATCTAGTGGTGGATTTTTCAGATGTTAGCCTTAGACAGGTAGGAAGGTTGTTTGGAGGAGCAGGGAATGAAGCTTTCTTAAATCCGTAAGGAGGTGGCTGCCTAGTCTGCCTATGTATAAGCCCTACCCTAACTCAACTCTGCTGCTCAGTGCCAGCGCTTCTGACTGAGAAGTGTGGGTGTCATCTTGTCCTCGGAGATGCTTTTACTTCTCTAAAAAGATTCATTAAATCTCAAGAACAGTTTCTCTCTCACATTGAGACCAGCTACTATACCATGGTGTTGGCTGTAATGGCTTAACCTTGTGTTGGCCAATATTGTGTTTAACCATGATGTTGACCCCAGATCCATTAAGCCAAGCCATTGATCTTTACCCAATTAAAGTTTGATATGGATTGAAGTTGACTATAAACAGAATAAATGAAAAGTAATAGAAACAAGGAGAGGTTAGTAACTTTGTTACACCCTTCCTCATCCCAAGCTCGCTCGGCTAGAACTATATGATATGGTTATAATTCTGTAATAACAATAATTAAGCATTGCTTAACATCTATGGAGCAGGTATGGCATCTTGGATACTGGGTGTTGATCATAGAAAGTTGTGGTTCTTCACTTCTTTTATTGAGAGGGAATAAATACCTATGGATGCACAGACAAGCTTGGTAGCATTGGCTAGAGGCCAAAAATAATTCTTTCCTTCTTTTTTAAAAAAGTGATTTCTGTGTTTTCCCTTCCATCCTTCCTTCCTTCCTTCCTTCTTTCCTTCCTTCCTTCCTTCCTTCCTTCCTTCTTTCCTTCCTTCCTTCCTTCCTTCCTTCCTTCCTTCCTTCCTTCCTTCCTTCCTTCCTTCCTTCCTTCCTTCCTTCCTTCCTTCCTTCCTTCCTTCCTTCCTTCCTTCCTTCCTTCCTTCTTTTCTTTCTTCCTTCTTGAGATTTGGAGACCAAAAAAAGGAAAGCAGAGAAAAATGAGGAATCTAGTTATTCACTGTTTGAAATGTGACTCTTATCACCTGTCCCCAACCTTCTTCTCATTTTAATTTCTATTTATTTTATTTTTCAATACATATTTTGATTCTTTAAAAATTTTCTTTATTTCTCAATGAATTGCCCTTCCAACCTTTCCAATTCTGCCCTTCCTCCCCCACTTCCCCCCATAAAGAAGTACAGTTAAGCAGAATAAATCATTGGCCACATATGACAATGAATGCCACATCCCACACCTATAGTCTAGCACTTCTATGTTAAGAAAAGAAACATCTATTTCATTGTTAGCCTATGGGAATCAAGGCTCTGTCTTACCTTTGATTAGAATTCACATTCTTCCAATTGTTTTTTTTTCTTTAAATTTCTGTATCCATTACATAAATCGTTCTCTTCATTCTGGGTACCTTGTTCTGCCTCTCATTCATATGTCTTTCCCTTAGTTTTCCTTTCTAACTTACTATCCTGCTACTCCCTTCAAAACATTGTATGTACTTTAGCCTAACTGATTTAAATTCCATTGTGCTGAAATGCACTCCTTATCACAAAGTTCCAGATCAAATACCCTTTCTTCCACAAAGTTTTCTCTTACCCTACTAGACAGAAATGATCTCTCCAACCACTAAGCTCTCATGGCACTTTCTTTGTACTCCTTGTTTGATGGTGCACTAATTACATTATACCTTATATTATTATTTATGATTCTCCCTGACAAGCTTCTCAGATTCTAAATCCAATGCTCTTTCCATTACATGATGTGGATATTACCCCCATAGTCCCTTGGATAGGAATCAGTAGAATTCAGGAATCATAAAGAGAAGCTTGAAATTCTAGTCCTGGCTCAGCTACCAACTAGTTGTGTGTGACCTTGGGCAAGTCACTTCTCACTCTCTTTTCTTATCTGTAAACAGAGTTACATCAAATGATCTCCTAGATCCCTTCCACTCTAAAATTCTTTGATCTACCAGTCACTCAAAAAAATTGGTTAAATCAATGGCCTCTGATCTAAACTCACTGCTCTTCAGTAAGCTTGAGCTGAATCTGATGCAGGGATTGGTTCCAGTAAGGTTAAGTTGTAGGAGTATAATTTTGCAAGTCACACAAGAAAGCTAACTCATTTTATAATCACTCTTAAATATTGAGCCAAAATAATATTTCCTAACTTGGTTTCTTATCTTATTTATAAGGATTGGCTTCAAATGACTTGTTTTGGAAAATCAAGTCCATTCTCGGTGAGTAGATCTTTGTCACTTCTGAGGATATGCCTTCCAGTAGAGGGTAAGTAAGCTCTTTAAGGACAGGTGCCATTATTCACATTTCTCTTATATCTCCATCACTAATAGGTTTTATTTTTACATTTAAATTTTATTTTTATTTTCAGTTCTACATTCTCTCCCACTCTCCCCTCACACTTATTGAGAAGGCAAGAAATATCCCTTTATACATACACAGTCATGCAAAACATGTTTCTACATTACCCATATCCTGAAAAAAAAGCAAGAAAAACAAAGAAAGGAAAAAACTATGCTTTAACATGCACCCTAAGTCCATTACTTTTCTCTCTGGAGGTGGATAGCATTTTGTATCATAAGTCCTTTGGAACTAATAGATTTAGGCTTGATTAATGCTTCTTGAATTGGATTGAATGCACCACATGCTCTGGAAGTCATTCTAAGAGAGGAGTTGTAAACACGACTTGGGCAATGGTTGCATCATTGGAAGCAAAGTCTGACCTCCCAAAGGGACTACTTTGAAGAGGACAACACTCATTTGTATAGATGGGGTTTTATGTGTTTGTTAAAAAAAAACAAACAAAAAACCCCAACTCATCTGTGTTACTTCAAACTTTCATGCCATGTTATTTCAAACTCTCATACCACACAGTGGTGCTGCTAAAAATTGGCCGGGGAGAGTAAGTCTCCCTCCTCTAGTACCAAGGGAAGTCTGGAAAAGAACAGTAGATAGAAGGCTGGACTTGACATTAGGAGTCCTGGTTCAAATTCTGCCTCAAATACTATCTGTAATTTATAGGCAAGTTCCTTGAGCTCTCAAATCATCAATTTCTTCATCAGTAAAATGGAGATAATAACATATTACATTTTTCACAGAGTTATTGTGAAATTATTATTGTTATTTGTCATTATTAGTATTATTGGGGCAGCTCAGTGGTGCAGTGGCTACAGTGCTGGGCCTAAAGTCAGGAAGACTCATTTTCATGAGTTCAAATCTGGCCTCATGTGATCTATGTGACCCTAGGCAAGTCACTTACCCCTGTTTGCCTCAGTTTCCTCATGTGTAAAATGAGTTGGAGAAGGGAAAGACAAACTACTCCAGATTCTTTTCCAAGAAAATCCCAGATGGAGTCCTTAAGAGTCACGCATGACTAAAAAACAAGTTATTATTATTAGTATTTTCCCTTTGAAGAACTGAGGTCAGTTTTTTCTCCCCTAGAAGAACAAAACAGATTATTTGTAAAGCTTCCGATTAGTAGGGAGATTTATTTGCATAAATTATATGTTACACATGCATATGTATTACATTACATTCTATCATACTACATTGGACACTAGAATTTTATTTTGTTAGAGTAGAACTAACCTTTGTCTTCTTTGAAAAGAAATGGCATTATCTCTTTGTGGACAAAATTAGCTTGGATTTTAAATTTACCTTGCCCATTCATATTTGACATTATACACAGCTCATTTCCATGGAATAATAACTTTCAATCACTCCTTCTTAGTTTAGGTCTGGAGAAGACCAAAGTAGCTGGGAGGCAGTGGTTCTAAAATCTGTGGCCTAGGTTTAAATCTTGTCTCTGCCCTGGGTGACCTTGGTTAAATTGCTCAGCCTCTGTGAAGTCAGTTTCCTCATCTGTAAAATGAAGAGGTTGGACCTGCATACTTTTCCAGTTATTACTTGCTACCTGTGTGACCTTGGGCAAGTCAGTTAACTTTCCTGAGTCTCAGTTCCCCCATTTGTAAAATGGGGATGGTTGGATTATAGGACCTCCAAGGTCATTTTCAGCATTTAGAATTTACAATGCAAATTCCTGGAATAGGCACCAAAGACAGTGGTAGAATCTTTAGAGGTCAGAAAGTCATAGATAAACAGCTAAAAGACATCTCAGAAATTATCTTGTCCAATTTCCTCATTTTATAGATCAGGAAGCTGAGGCTAAGAAATATCAAGTAACTTGTCCAAAATCACACTGGTAGCAAATGGCAGCTGGAAAACAATTCAGAAATCATCTAGTCCAATCCCTTCATTTTACAGTTGAAGAAACTGAGGTCTAAAGAGGTTTAACAACTTGCCCAAAGTCACAGCAATAAGTGGCAGAGCCAAGATTCAAACTTAGGTGCTGTGATTCCAAGTTCAGCACTCCAAGTCCAGCGTCATTCCTTCTACTGTATTGCCCTTCCTCAGGGTATAGCTCCCTTCTGACCTTGCCTGGAGGCAGAGAGATAGATTGGATGACCTTAAGAACCCATCTGGTTTTAGGATACAGTAATCTCCCCACTAGCACATTCCACTCTGTAGTTACGGCTTCTCAGGTAGCTTTATCTCAAAGACTCTTCCAAGTTTCAACCTGATAATGCTTTAACTTCTTAGAATGGAGAAAAGAAGTCAAGGGAGGTCAGCCCAGGGTCTGTATATGGTGTACTGTAAAGCCAGAGTCTCTGACCCCAGTCACTGGGGACACCATGAGGCAGAATTGTCCTCAGGGTCCCCACACCCAGTGAATAAGGGGAAGTGATGGGTTGGCCACTTTGAAGATGAACCATAAAGCAATTACTTCACCAAGAAGTACAATTGGTGAGGAGTCCTGACTTAGCAAGAAGCCCAAGTAAAACCCTTTTATGAGGTGAAGGACTCTTCTGAGGTCATTAAATAACATACTGAGAAGTGCTTCAGAAACATTGCTAAAGGAGAAAAAAGGGGAAAATGCTGTATACTATAACCACACCCACTGTTGAAAGAATATAAGATGAACCTGGTATAGGAAGGGGATCCATACAACAGGAAACAGGTACACTTTGCAGCCGATCAGGGGACATTGCTGAGTTCACCATGCCTTACAACTGTTGCCTGCCCAACTTCAGCTGCCGCACCAGCTGCTCCTCCAGGCCCTGCCTGCCTCCCAGCTGCCATAGCTGCACCCTCCCTGGGGCCTGCAACATCCCCGCCAATGTGGGCACCTGTGGCTGGCTCTGCGAAGGCTCCTTCAACGGCAAGGAGAAGGAGACCATGCAGTTCCTGAATGACCGCCTGGCCAACTACCTGGAGAAGGTGCGGCAGCTGGAGAGGGAGAATGCTGAGCTGGAAGGTAGGATCCGGGAATGGTGCCAACAGCAGGTCCCCTATGTGTGCCCAGACTACCAGTCCTATTTCAGGATCATTGAGGAGCTCCAGCAAAAAGTGAGTCAGATGGGTTGTCTTAACTTATTCATGCATCAGTAGTATTGAGAAGGGAGATAGGCGGAATTATCCAAAGTACTGCATTTAATAGAGTTTGAGAAAGGCTTTGGGGGCACTGGAAAGACAGATGGGGTAAGTAGGGTCAAGAGAATGGCCCATGGCTTAAATTACAGTCAACTTCACATTGTACTTAAAGGTGTTATCTCATTTAAAAATTTTGAGGAATTTCTACTTTATCTTGGCCCAGTGTTACCTTCTAAATTTTATAGCAATTTCATTAATAAAAGGTGATCAAAGTCAATGGCATCTGAATGAAGACCCAAATAATCCATCCCTAGTAAATTCTCAGCTATTATTTAAGATGCACTAGATGATGGGTTCCTAACTGGAGTTCTATGAATTTGTTTAATTAATATTGTGTTTAATATATTTAAATATAATTGGTTTCCTTGGTAATCTTATGTATTTTATTTTATGCATTTAAGAGCATTATTTAAGAATAGGTTCATAGATTTCTTTAGACTTTCAAAGGTGGCATGGTGCAGAAAAGGTTCAGAATCGAAGCCTTAGCTGAATCGAGGGTTTGTAGTTCCATTGCAGCTGATGTGCATAGAATTGTAAAGTGGGTAAAGCATGGTGAAGACATTTGGTCCTTGCAATATCCCTGGGAGATACATACTACAAACACTATTATCTCCATTTATAAGATGAAAAAACTGAGTTTCAGAGTGGCTAAGTGACTTTCCGATGGTTACATAACTAATGAAGTTCAGGAATGGGCTTCAAATCTAGATCTTTCTTCAAGACCAGTCTCTGACAATTAGTCACTTAACCCTTCTGGGTCTTGGTTTCTTTTTTCTGGAAAGTTAGGAGGGTGGATTAGATGACCTCTAAGGCCTTTTCGAGCCCTAAATCTTTGATCCTAAGATCAGCTTTCCATGATGCCCTACTCTCCCTTTAGTGTGTCCTATCTTCCTCAGAGGTCCTGCTTCTTTTAACCCCTTGGGTGGGTTGGTGGGGGGCAGACTTTTTTCCTTAGGTGTCAGAAACGAATGATGGAAAACATGGTGGAATTTAAGTGTTATCCAAAGTTACCTCCATAAAATTGGGTATATGAGACTGGAGGTAACCTAATGAGAGAGAGAGAGAGAGAGAGAGAGAGAGAGAGAGAGAGAGAGAGAGAATATCAATGGGTCCATTTCCACCTGCCTGATATTTTTATGAAAGCTTCAGTTCTGAACCTGCAGAATTGTAATAGGGGACTGGCTAAGCTGAGCCCTAGTAAATATGTGCAATGTAGGCTGCTGATGCCTACAAGTGGAATTTGGAGCTCATGTTTGTGCAGATATTCTGTAAGAGATCTGGTCTACAAAGAATGTGACAGAGGTGAACTTTTGATTAGCTGCTGTGTTAGACCTAGGGTCCATTCAACAGGCACCAACCACCAGAGTGAGTTTTCTTTTTTCACCCTGGTTGTAAAAGAGTGAGACAGACAGGCTGTAAACCTCTGGATTGGAAAGGGATGGGTCCTCTGTTAGATCTGGAAAAAGACTTAGAGATAATCTAATCTCATCTCCTCATTATGCAGCTGGAAAAAACATAACAAAAAACCTTGAAGCCCAGAAGAATTAAGAAACATGCTCAAAGTCACAGAACTAGCTGGTGGCAAAGTCAGAAATAGAATACCAGGTTCTAGACTCTCAGTGAAGCATATCCTTTCCCTTCTATCATATTGCTTTTATGTTGAAGCTGAACAATCAATAAATCAATAGAATACTTATTAAATGCCTACTATGTTGGAGGCACTATGCTAAGCATCAGGGATACAAAAGACAGTTCCTGACCTCAAGGAGATTACAATCTAATAGATTATGGAAAACAGAGAGTTGAACTGGAAATGTGGTATTATCATCCTCATTTATGCAAATGACAAGAGGACAATAGTTGATTTTTTTTTGCTTCAAGAAACAAAGTATTATTTCTAAGCATATTTCAACTTACAATCATATATTCCTTCAGATCCTGTGCACCAAGGCAGAGAATACCAGGCTGGTGGTGCAGATCGACAATGCCAAGCTGGCTGCTGATGATTTCAGAACTAAGTAAGAACTTTTGAACAACATGCTTTGCCCATCAACAAAATGAGTGGCCTCATCATGTAGTGAATTCCCCATTCCTAGATGTATTCAGAGACAAGATGGTTGATTCCTACTGAGGGTTTTTAATCTGGGGTCTATACACTTCCTTCAAATTTTTTTTTTGATACCTATCTTCAACATACTTGGTTTCCTTCATAAGCTTACGCATTTTATTTTAAGCATTTAAAAACATGATAGCTAGGTCCTGATAAGTGAGAGTAATGAATCCTCTGTAAAGTGGTCAAATTATTCAAATTCACATTGCACATTTCCATCGGCTTAAACCAATTGCTGTATTTTACGTAATTATAGCTTTGGATGGCGTGAGTTTCAGAGCTCTTTATGAGATTCATTATTCACACTAATTAGGATGAAGCCACATCCTAGGAAGGGGGTTTATGGGCTTTGCCAGACTGCCAAAGGGGTATACAACCTGAAAAGGTGAAGATTCCTTGGCCTAGGGCAGGGGTGTGGAACTTGTGGCCTTGAGGCCACATGTGGCCACCTTTTGACTGAATCCAAATTTTGCAGAACAAATGTTTCTCATCCCTGGCCTACGGCATGTCTAAGTGTCTGCTGACTCTGTGTCCTACGGTCCCATGAGACCTAGAAGTCTAGTTTGTGAGATACAGGGACTTCCTCTTCTATTTTTGCTTTCTTTTGCATGTCTTCTGACCTCCTGTCACATTTTAAAGGTACCAGACAGAACTGTCCCTGCGCCAGCTGGTGGAGGCTGACATTAATGGCCTGCGCAGGATCCTGGATGGGCTCACCCTCTGCAAGTCTGACCTAGAGGCTAAAGTGGAGTCCCTGAAGGAGGAACTGCTCTGTCTCAAACAGAATCATGAGCAGGTAAGGGAAAATCTCCAGACCTATGTGTCTTGTCTAGTGAGAAGGGGCCTGACAATTCAGACTATTAGAGGGGCAGAAGGAAATGTCTTTACTATGCCCAAGAAAGTGAATATTAACCCATCTTCCCACCTGTAAAATGGGGGACAATAATAGCATCCACCTTGTAGGGTTGTTGTGTGGATTATTGTATGATGTTGTATGAAAAATGCTTTGTAAACCTTGAATGGCTATGTAAATGCTAACTATTAGTATTTTTCTCAAGGTCTATGTCCCCAAAGAGCTGGAAAACTTAATTACTGATTAAAGGGAAAAACTTGATGTGTCGTCTAATGATGCTCCCACAAGAGACTTTATGAACAGACTCATTGCTGTTGGGTCCCTCCCTCCTTTTTCTTACACAGGAAGTTAACTCGCTGAGATGCCAGATTGGGGAGAGACTCAATGTGGAGGTGGACGCTGCCCCAACTGTGGATCTGAACAGGGTGCTGAACGAGACCCGGTGTCAGTACGAGACCCTGGTGGAGAACAACCGCAGAGATGTGGAGGAATGGTTTGCCACTCAGGTGAGGCTCTGTCTCTGTCTCTCTTCTGACTCACCAGAATGTGTCAGCCCTCTTCACCAGCTGCCTCACCACATCTCCTGACCAAGACTGACTTCTTTTTCAGACAGAGGAACTGAACAAGCAGGTGGTATCCAGCTCTGAGCAGCTGCAGAACTGCCAGGCCGAGATCATTGAGCTGAGGCGTACCGTCAATGCTCTGGAGATTGAACTGCAGGCTCAGCACAACCTGGTGGGTTGCCCCTCGGCTCTGAGTTTACCTGGCTCCAGTCGAAACAATCAGTGAATCCACAAGCATTTATTAAGCACCTACAATTCACCAGGCACTCTGCTAAGTGCTGAGGATAAAAAAAAAAGACAAAGAATGAAATAGTTCCTGCTCTCAAGTAGCTATTAGAGGAGATAACATACACATATATAAGTGGATGAAAAGTAATTTTTTTTTGAGGTAGGGAAGGTGCTAGCATTTGGAAGGGATCAGGATAGACTTCTTATAGAACAGAGAACTAGACCTGGGAATAGATTTCCAGGCTCATAGAAGTTAGATGGGAAAAAAAATTACATTTTAGTTTTCACTCACCTCTAACTGAAATTTATCATTTCCTTTAATTATTTAAGGACCTGGTTCTGGAAAAGGGTCCGTAGGTACACACACACAAAATTAAGAATCCTGGTAGAAAAGGTGAGGCTTGAGCTGAGCCTTGAAGGATGCTGGGAAGTTTAAGAGGTACAGGTGAGAAGAGATTGTATTTCAGGCACAGGGGACAGCCGGATGGAGTATCATATATGGAGATAGCAAAAAGACCAGGTTGGCTGGATCAGAATATCGGTGAATATTGGATAATGAGGCTGAAGAGGTGGGTGGGGACCAGGTTGTGATAGGCACTAAATGTCAAGTAGAAGGGGCTTGTATTTGATCTTAAAAAAGGACAGAGGCACTGGATGAATGAAGGTAGAAGTGCAAATAATATTAACAGGGAGACATCCAATTTATAATTATTTATCATGATTATGAGGTGACTGTGAAACTTAGGGAGACACTCCTGGAAGTGTCTTACACAGCCCTAAAAAGAGTGACATATCTGGCATTCTTTTCTGTCCTCTGTCACAGAGAAATTCTCTTGAAAACACCCTGACAGAAACCGAGGCTCGTTACAGCTCCCAGCTGTCCCAGGTACAGTGTATGATCAGCAATGTGGAGTCCCAGCTGGCTGAGATCCGTGGTGACCTGGAGAGACAGAACCAAGAGTACCAGGTGCTCCTGGATGTCAGAGCGCGGCTAGAGTGTGAGATTTCCACATACCGTGGCCTGCTGGAGAGTGAAGACTGCAAGTAAGTCATCCTGGGGTTTTGGGGTAAAGCCACGTGTATGGCTCTTCCAAATCAGGGAGTCTTACAACCAAAATCTAGCATGGAACCCAAAGAGCAGGAAATTTGTTATCAAAGCTTGAAAATACTAATCTGTCTGCATGGACCTTTGTGGTATGTTGTTGGGAAGCAAATGTCCACATTATTTGTTCTCCTTCCCCAGTTTAGCTAATTAAAAAAATGCTGTTATCATTCACTGTGGTGAGGGTATTTTCTCCTCCTGCAGAAAACAGTAATTTTAGTTGTCTTTATCATTGAGAGGTCCTGTTATAAACAACAGCTGATAAGACCCCGGATAAGACATTGGACTTGGAATCAACAAGATGTGGGTTCAAATTCTGCTTTAGAGACACTTAGCTTGTGATCATGGGCCAATCACTTAACCTTTCTTTGCTTTGGTTACCTCAACTGCAAAATGAGAAGCTTGACCTTGATGGCTTCTAAGGTGTCTTCCAGATTTAGAACTGTGATCATAAGTCCCATGATTTCATTTGTGGAAGGGAGGAAATTCCTCTACCAATGCAGGTCAGCACCTTCTTTACTTTTTATAGTTTTAGAAAGCTGCTTTGAGCACTGAGAAGTTAAGTGACTTGTCCAGGGTCACCCAGCCAGTACATGTTAGGGGTAGGAATTGAACCCAGGTCTTCTCAACCTTAAGACCAGCTCTCTAAACTGAAAGCTATAATGGGAGTTTGATGCATACCTACATTACATAAAATGGTATCTTCCAAGTGAGTGATGCTATCTTAGGTAAGCAGGCATGTGCCAAAGCCCCACTACATAGAGTAAACAGTAAATGCAGTAGAGAGAAAAGTTCAGATTATCAGTGCTAAGCCTTGATTTTTCTGTGACAAACACTGAATATACTCCTGGCAATACATATTGTCTTTTTTGATTGTGTTGCTGTCCACATTGCACTTGTCAGTGAGAAAATGATCCTCATATTTACATTTCCATGATTTTTGTCTCCCCAGGCTTCCCTGCAATCCCTGCACTACCACCAACGCCTGCGGCAAGCCCATTGGCCCCTGTCCGGTCAGCAATCCTTGTGTTCCCTGCACACCTTGCATTCCTCGATCTCGCTGTGGCCCCTGTAACTCCTTTGTGCGCTGAATTTCCTAGCATTCCCCAGAGGATGAAGGACAGACAGTCATTTGTTTCCAATCTTTGGGCCAGCCTCCTTTTCTCATGGTGATTGTATCCTGTCAAATAGAAGAAGCCAGGGAAAGAATAAGAAGAAATGTGCACAGATTCTCATAGATATAGTCAGTGATCCCGGGGGGCTAGGATTTGCTGGTTCTACACAAACAAGTCCTGTGTTCCTGGAGGTCTTTGATCTTTAGATATTCCAGCATTGTTTCCCTTAGAAAGTGTGACTTACTGGCTTCTGTGGTCCCTTCTGTTGTTTCAACCTATCCTTCTCTCCTTGTAGTTCCCTTCTCATCATCCTAATAAATTTCTACCCTTGCAAAGCACTGATGATTCTCATGTATATTCATTCCTTCCAAAGTGTGTGATGTTTGTATTTCATTAAAAAAAAAACCACTTGAAAGCAAAGGGTTACTTACTACCCTGGGTCTACAAGCAACCACCATCATGAATAACACTCATTAACAGGACAGGCTTGGAGACACTGTGCCTTAGGCACTACATGGAACAGGCAGGAAGCTCCCTGATCTGAACAGGACATGGGTACTTCAGTGAATTGCAGCTTCTCTTGGTAAGAAGCACTGGTCACAGTTTCTAGACAAGCCCTTTACTTTCCCCAACTCTGACCACACCTGCAAGGAGGCTCTGGGATGCCAGTCAAATAGATGACAGACTTTAACAATCACTCCTACCATCATTGATCCAAATGAGTGTTGTTATTTAGTGGTTTTCAGTTGTGTCTGACTCTTTCTGGGGGTTTCTTTGCAGAGATACTGGAGTGGTTTGCCATTGCCTTCTCTGTCTTATTCTACAAATGAGGAAACTGAGGCAAATGGGGTTAAGTGACTTGCCCAGAGTCATACAACTAGTAGCTTGCCATTTCCTTCCCCAACTCATTTTACAGATGAAAAAACTGAGGCAAACAGGGTTAGGTGACTTGCCCAGGGTCACACAGCTAGCAAGTCTCCAAGGTCAGATTTGAAATCAGGAAGATGAATCTTCCTGACTCTAGGCCCAACACTATACTACCTAGCTGCCCAAATGAATGCAGCCCCTTCATAGTAGTATCCATGGGAAGCTAGACACTTATTGCAAGGGTCATGCCATTATTCACAATGTGCTGGAACTGTCTTTTGGGGAAATCTTTTCAGAGTCTGTGGGGAAACCTCATTTGGGGCCAAAAATTAGGTATGACAAGAAGGTAATATGGAGATTTCTTACATGGGGGTTAAAGGGACTCTGAAGGTCATTCCAAACGACGAGCTCTAAGTGTGTTGCGAATAGAATTCCAGAGTTGTGAATGCCCTCAGATGTTTCTTTATTATTAACTTGTGAACCATGAACCATTAAAAAATTTCATAACTATGTATGTCATTGTAGTTGGTTTTATTTCTGATCCTGTGATTCTTCTGAAAGAATTTTTACAGCCAGTGTCTCTGATAAAGGCCTCATTTCTAAAGTATATAGAGAACTAAGTCAAATTTAGAAGAATGCAAGTCATTCCCCAATTGATAAATGGTCAAAGGATATGAACAGGCAGTTTTCAGATGAAGAAATTAAACCTATCTATAGTCATATGAAGAAGTGCTCTAAATCACTATTGATTAGAGAAATGCAAATCAAAACAACTCTAAGCTACCACATCACACCTATCAGACCGGCTAACATGACAAAATAGGACAATGATAGATGTTGGAGAAGATATGGGAAAATTGGAACAGTAATGCATTGTTGGTGGAGTTGTGAACTGATCCAATTATTTTGGAGTGCAATTTGGAACTATGCCCAAAGGGCTATAAAAATGTGCATACCCTTTGATCCAGGGATAGCACTTCTAGGGCCATATGCCAAAGAGATCATAAAAATGGGAAAAGAATCCACATGTACAAAAATATTTGTAGAAGATCTTTCTGTGGTGGCCAAGAATTTGAAATTGAGGGGATGCCCATCAATTGGGGAATGGCTGAACAAGTTGTGGTATATGAATGGAATGGAATACTATTGTGCTATAAGAAATGATTGAGCAAGTGGACTTCAGAAAAACCTGGAAAGACTTGTATGGACTGATGGTGAGTGAAGTGAGCAGAGCCAGGAGAGCATCATACACAGTAACAGCCACACTGTGCGATGACTAACTTTGATAGGCTTAGCTCTTCTCAGTAATGCAAGGATCTAAGACATTTATAGAAGTCTCATGATGAAAATGCTATCCACATCCAGAGAAAGAACTATGGAGTCTGAAAGCAGATGGAAGCATACTATTTACTCTTTTCCCCTTCTGTTTTGTTTTGTTTCTTCTTTCTTGTGGTTCCTCCTGTTGGTTCTAATCCTTTTTTTTTAAAAACATGACTAATGTGAAAATTAAAAACAATAAAATTCTATTCACCTTAAAAATATTTTTCTAAGGAGTTCATAGTCATCACTAGACTTCCAAAGGGATCCATGACACAAAAAGGTTAAGAACTCTTAATCTAGATCAACCTAGAACTGACCAAGAATTATCTCTATGGTAAACCTAACAAGTGATTATGAAGCTTCTCCTTGAAGACCTCAAGCAAGTGGGAACCTATTACCTCCCAGGGTAGCCCATTCCACTTTGGAATAGTTCTCAGTGATTATGAAGCTTCTCCTTGAAGACCTCAAGTAAGTGTGAAGCTATTACCTTCCAGAGTAGCCCGTTCCACTGTAGAACAGCTCTCAGTGTTAAGAGGTTCTTCTGTATAGCAAGTACAAATTTGCCTCTTTGCAATGTCCACCCCATTCACCCTGGTTCTGCCCTTTTGGGCCAAGAAGAACAAATCGAATCTCTTCCACTTGACAATCCTTCAGATACTTAAAACATAGCTTTCCTTCCCCACTCTCCCCATTTCCCCTTCCTCCTCAACTTTTCCATTCTTTTCTCCCCTCTCCTCCCCTCTCTTCTCTTCCCCTCTCTTCCCCTTCTTTTCTCTATGCTCTTTTCTTCTCCTCTCCTCTTGTTTCCTCTCCTCTCCTCCTATTTCCTCTCCTCTCCTCCCCTCAAATCCCCTTGTTTCTTGAACCAACCCTCATTCCCAATGTTGTTGCAATAACTTTATAGCTTCTCGAGGTAATTACTTCAGTGGTAATTTCTCTTCCCAAAAATCTCCTCCACCTGACTGATGCCTAAAATTCCACCATCATAAACTTATTCCTTTCTTGGTTCTTCTACCCTGAATCTCATTTGAATGCACAGGTTCTGGAATGCTTATAAATAAAATTAGCATCACTACTCGAGTCCCAACTCCTATATACCAAAGTATGAGAGGCTAATAGTATGACATAATTTCTTTAGCCACAAGAATGTGTCTTCTCTTCTGTCATTAGGCAAGCACAGAACCTCAGGATGAAGGCCAATTGGTTGTTGCCTCTTTGCTGCATATTGTCATTCTGGTTTAGGAGTCTAGATGATGTCATTTGCAATGAGGGACATGATTTATAGCTGCCATTCTGCAGGAACTAGGCAGCAGGAGGAGAACCCCACACCCTAACCCTGGTCTCTTCACTTATCCACCCTTCCATCCTTGAATATTTTTCCAACACAGGACTGAAATGTTGGTGCTGTACTCTAACATTCCCAACAATGGCCTCCTGGCCCCCAAATCCCTTTTATATCTTTAATGCTTGTGATTTTATAATATCATTGGATATTACGCATAGACTAGTGGATGGATAGCTGGCCTCAGACCTAGGAAGACCTGGGTTCCAGTCCCACTTCTGGCATATCCTGGCTGAGATCCTGGGCAAATCACTTAACTTCTCAGTGCCGTAGGCAATTCTCCAAGATTATGAGTTGCAGAGATGGTGCTCACCTACATTAGTAGATGGAATTTCCTCAACTAGAAGTTCCTTACACCAATAAAATCACAGATCCAGACTCTATACTTATTGGATGTTAGAGTTAAAAAGAACCCCACACCTTACCAAATAATGAATCCTATTTACAATACTTCCAACAGCCATTTAAATGCCTCCAGTCTATCTTCTAGTCAACATGGCAATCTGAGAGGTCATAGAGGACTCCAGCTCTCTTAATACACTTCCAAATATATAACATATAATCTATAATATAAATTAAAAATGTTAATACTGCTGATATTTCAAAGAACATGGAACACGAGCCTTCATAATTAGGACCTCTTATGATTTTTCTAGGTAATACACTGGATGCATTCTCATGATCTGTTTTGGTTAAGGTTGATTCTCTTCATCACTGTTCTCTGGGGAGAGCCTCCTCCTGAAAATTACTTTCAATTATTTTGTCTTCCTATGCCTACTTTACCACAGCAGAATCCTTTGGCAAGCCTGTCAACCACTGCCCAATAAGTAGTATTTTTCCCCTGTCCCTCCTGCATACCCTTGTATCCTTCACTCAAATCATGGTTCCTGTATTACTCTTGAGCAATAGAATTCCCAGTGTCATCATGAGTCTCAGGCCCTTGAGGGAAATGTGCTAGTGAGGAAACTGGAACACATGATGCCCTAGTCTCTGTTAGGGTGTTTTTCAGAGAATTTCTCTGTAATAAAGGTGAGAAAGAAACATCAGAGATTGGGCTTCTTTATAGTTCTGTGTGAGTCAGCTGGAGCCATCGCCAGTTTTCTTGACTTATGTGTTGCCACTGGACTCTGAGGAAAGAATAAGGCTGATGACTTTGCACAGCCCTGCCTCACTTCAATCCAATTTACTTGCAAGTGAAGACATCACCCTCTTGACATCATCGGTCCTCTTCCAGAAGAAAGACAAACAACAACAATAAGTGAGTTACATGATCGTTCCTAGGGAGTTTCAATCAATCAACCATCCTACCAATTAGCAGACATTTAATAAGTACCTACTACATGCCAGGGACAGTCCCAGATGCCAGGGAAAGAAAGACAAAAGTGTAACAAGATCTGCTCTCAAGGAGCTTACAACTTAGCCAGGTAGATACAAAAAAAGATACAAAACAGATAAAATGTAATTTGAGGGGAAAGTACCATCAAATCAGGGGTGGGGAATCAATCTTGAGGGCAATCTTTATCTAATATATGTGGTTCATAGCAATGATTTTGTGTGTGATATTTATAAAGCATAGGTATGACTGTGTCATGTTCTGCTTCAATAAATCTCCGTGGTTCCTTACTGTCTCTAGGATAAAATACAAAATTCTTTGTTAGGTACATAGGTCTTAGGCAACCTCAACCTCCAAACGCCCTTTCTTGGCTTATTCCACATTACTCTCCTTCACACATTCTATGGTTCAACCAAACTGGCTTTCTTGCCTCACTCA